TCTCTCTTTATTAACGTCCCCACACCAACCTGTAGGACCGTAAAAGACGGGCTGCCTGGCTTGTCCATGTTGGCTACACAGCAGATACTCAACCAGTGTCTGTTAGATGGCTGTCTAGACTTCAAGTTTGGGTGGAGTTTCCATGAGAAGCAATAGTTCTCTTATCCACACACAGGGCTGAGGGCTTAGAGGGACAAAAGAGGAGCCCCTCTCTTGAGGAGCCCCAGGAACAGACCCCCGAGGGAGAAAGGGGGGGGGCTTCAGAAACCTTGCTCTCACCTCCAGCTTCGCAAACTTGTCCGACTTGCAGCAAGCGTTCTCAGCGTTGGTGAGCTTGGTGAGCAGAAACTCCCTGAACTCGGGGCCCTGGAAGAGACAAGAGGCCCTAGGATTTCTCCCACCTCCGGCTCCAGCCTGACGTATAGGTGAGCAGGCAGGAGGAATGAGGAGAGCCCTGGGTAGGTCCTCCCTCTGACATCTGTCCAGAAAGGACCATCGTGGAAACCAGCTTCCCTGGCCCTGGGAAACCAGACCTCCACCCCCACGTGGCTACGTCTGAAGGCAATTCTTGGCCAACACTCCTGGGACCGGAACAGGGGAAGTGTATTTCAGAATAAAGCAAAACAAAACGAGCAAACCAAAAACACCCCACCTTCTTATTGGCGAAGGCACCCCTTTCCCCCAGTGTTAAACACCTCTATAACTGGCCACCTGAGGAGGAGGAAAGGAGAGACCCCAGGTAAGATTTCCCTCAAGCTTGCAAAAAGGCTTCCTTAATATTCCCAGCCCTGCCGGTACTGTGGATTCTGCATCAGGGTTAAACCACAAGGTTAGGGGTTCAAACCCACCAGCCACTCCAGAAGACCACGGAAGCTGTCTGCTCCCATAAAGATTTGCAATGTCAGGGGGGAAAAAACCCATGTAGGGTCACTGTGGGTCAGAAGCAATTTGATGACAGTGGGTTTGGATTTATTTGTTTGCTTGTTTTTAATATCCCCAGCTCAAGTCCCCCCAGCTCCCAACCCGGCCGCTCAGGCATTGAGACCTCTCTCGCACCCTGGCTGTCACTGCGTGTGTCAGAGCAGATTTGTGCCCCCCGGGCTTTCAATGGCTGACGCTTTGAGAGCAGATCGCCAGGCCTTTCTTTCAAGGTGCCCCTGGGTAGACTCAAACACCACACCTTAGGTCTCGCAGCCAAGGGGCTAACCCTTTGTCCCCCTGAGGGACACCGCTGGAGCCCCAGCCCTTGGAGGTAAGAGAAGCAGAGAAGTAGAGTTTCTTACCTTCTGGAAAACAGGGGGGCTGGGCAGAGGGGGTCCAAAGGCAGGCACGTCTTCCCGCGCAGTGACCGAGACCTGAAACACCAGGACGGCAGTGTGTGGGCCCACAGGGAAGCGGTCCCGGCCACGGGTGCTGACACACTCTGTGTTCTCCACAGCAAAGCCACTCACCGGCCGCCTCCCAGAACATACTGGATGGGGTACATGAATACAGCGCTCCCAGGAGCCCCTCGGACTCTCGGCTCCTAGAAGTGGGCTGGGCCGGGCAGTACCATTCCCTCGTGTGCATTCCTGGGGGCTGGCTGTGGCTCTGCGAGGTGACCCCAATGACAACACTACATGAGTGTGCGGGAGCCGCTGTCTCTTCCCCACCTTCCACCTGGCGCTGACCCGGCAGAGACAGTGCGGTGAGAACCGGTCATCATCCCGGTTGTACTGAGGGAGGAACCCTTTGGGGGCAGTGCTCAGA